GCTTCATCCCTCTATACACATGTATGGAGGATACACTCAGTGATCAACAGGTGGCACATAAAATATCTGAAAAAGGAGAAAAATAGCCGTCAGCCATCAGTAGTGGCCGACCGGCCACACATGTAGCCGATCGGCCATCAGTGTGGCCGATCGGCTACCACTCACAAGCCATGGCCAATGGACACTAGGGATGGCCGACAAGCCACCCTCTTCTCCAGATTCAAAGAAACAAGTTCTTGGTCCACCACCAAGCACAAAAACAGACAAGTTGAGAGGCTCCAAGGCAAGGCCCTCAGCCGAGACCTTCAGAGACTCAGAACGAACACGAGCATGCACAATCATCGGGTGTTCAAACGATGACGTCCAAGTCTTGAGGATGGTGAAAAATGGGGTGTCTACAGTTGCCCCTCTTTGGCAGAACTCGAAAGTCATAAAATGATGGGAGTGAATGTCAAAGCCCAGAGACGACCCATTTTTGACAAGGCCGAAGACTTAGACAAACAAGCAAGATAACAGTATAAATGCGCCCGCAGGCTAGGGCAAAATGAAAATGACATGCATGATGCAAGAGCATAACTTATGATCATGCAATGAGGGCTGTAATGAAACATCTAGATGCAAATGTTATGCAAAGAAATGCTATAGCAAACTCGTACATAAGCAAGTCAACACGAACCAAACTACATATCATACAGAAAGGATGTAAGAAAATTATGCAATCTTAATGTAATATCCCTGTCCCGTAGTATGATAATTGGTCCTTACTATGAATATGATTATGTGTGTGATATGATTTTGTGTGCCATTATGTGAAAATATGTGGTTTTGAATTTCTATCTGTTCACCGTAGGAATATCTGTTTGATTATCTTCTTTGGAAATTAAATTGAAGGCCTTATCGGCCACAGAACCCGAAATTGATTACGCCATTGTGATTGTCATAATTTTTAGAACCTAAGATGAAATTTAATTTGGAAATTGATTCGGATCAGATTAAATTGATTTAATTAATTATAAAGTGCTCAATTGTCTATTATTAAATTAATGTGACTTAGTGGGGCACTATGTACTCAAACATCCTCTTTGTTATTCTACTTGGCTGATTCTAACTCAAGAAAAAGAGAGAGGGGTTGGCTAGAGAGAGAGAGAGAAGGAGAGTTGGGTGTTTGGCTCAATTTTGTGAAGATTGGAAGATTAAACTCAAGATTTTGCCATAGATTGAGAGAATTAAGCCTCTAGGTAAGTGGGTGCATGAATTGTAATTAGTAATTTTGTGAATTGAAGGTTGAAAAATGATTAAGAACATAAATTAAATTGTTTATGAGCAGATTGAGTTGTATGTGTTGAATTTAAAGTCAATAGATGCATGCATGTAGGAAATTACTATGAATTTCCATATTTGAACACAATGTATATAATCTATGTTGAATCTTGTTTGAAATCCATGTATTTGATCACCTCTTCACCAATTAAGTTGATATGAATGAATATTTCTCACATGCAAGAGTAGATCATGGAGGTATGAGCTTTGCATGTCTGAATTTGATGTGTTGGTGATGAGTTTGGGTTAATTTGAGGCATGCATGTAAGTAATTCAAGAAATTGAGCTTCATTGTGTTGTAATTTGGTGTTTATACCATGTTAGAATATGTATATGTGAAGTTTGAGCCAAAATCATGCATTTGGAACCTTTGAATGTCGAATTGAAGCTCAAGAACATGTTCTGGATTTTCTAGAATTTTGATTCCCGCTCGAGCGGGGAAACCGCCGCTCGAGCGTGAATTTTGTGCTCCCAGTATATTTGCATACTTGGATGTCCGCTCGAGCAGGTAAGTTCACGCTCGAGCGGGGAACTATTTAGACAAACCTTCAGCTCGAGCGCTAGACTTCACGCTCGAGCGTAATTTTGACACATCCAGTACTTTTGCAGGCCTCAAGGGTCCGCTCAAGTGGGGAAGTCCACGCTCGAGCGGGGACCATGTTTTCTGAAATTTTGAAAAGACATTCTGTGTTTCATTTTCTGTTCTCTTTCACTTCCAAGTACTCTTAGGCATGCATTGAGCATTGTAATTGAGTTAAAGAGATAAGAATCAAGCCTAAAGAGAAAATCTGAATTTAGAACGGATCGAATTGTTTATGACCCTTTTGTGTTCATGGAATGTGTAGGGTCGAGCTCCAGGGTAAAACAACAAACCGATCACTGTGAGTATTATCTTGACAAGATATTTGAAATATATTGTTGTCCAATTGTTTACTTCTATGTAAGTTTTATAAGTTCATTAATTTGAATGGTGGACAATGATTGACATAAATGATTGGGTCGAAGGCCGATTGACATAAATGATTGGGCCAAAGGCTGATAGACATGAATGATTGGGCCGAAGGCCGATTGACATGAATGATTAGGCCGAAGGCCGATTGACATGAATAATTGGGCCGAAGGCTGATTGACATGAATGATTGGGCCGAAGGCCGATTGATACAAGTGATTGGGCCAAAGGCCGTCTGCTGTAACTGTTTCAAAGATTGCATATGTATCTTCTTTATTGATATTGTTCACTGGGCTTTCGCTCACGCTCATTCATATACATGTAGGTGAGCCAAGGGACGTCCAGAACCAGCCTCGGTGAAATTGTGAGAAACAGTCAAAGTTTTAAGGAGTCATCCCAAACGTCTCACGCACGAGACTGTCTTCACCTTTGTCCTTCGTTCATAGTTTTGTTATGTTGGCGAAAGCATTGGACTACTTTGTATATAAGTCTTGGGTTCGACTGACTTAAACTTGTATGATCCTGTATGTACAGTGTTCTGTATTAGTACATATTTTGATGTGAGTTATTAACATATAAATGCTTGGAATGTTATGGTGTACATATAAGCACAGCTCTATAGACAAGGTTTTATATTTGCTTCCGTTTGGCCCCTTTACTCTGATGAGTTTTGTTTTATTTGGTTTGAGGCCGTACGTAATCTCGTGATTACTGGCTGGTTATGGCCTTAACCCATAGGGGCGGGTTCGGGTCGTGACACTTAACTGCACCATATGCAGAAAAGGTAAAGAAACAACCGTCAGGCGCACCCGGGGTGGTAAACAAGATCCCAACGCGTGGCACATGCAAGGAGAAGTGATGTGAACCTAAGGACACCCTAAGGTCCCGAGCCACAGAGAACAATAATAACAGGTGAAACAACTATTATGCAATCGAAACAAAGAACGGTGTAAGCATTGGAATTCGTCCAAATGCATTTAACCAAGGCATCCTAACGCACCACATACGAGAGGGAAAAGAGAGCGATGCGAACGCCAGAGGGTGGTATAAACATCAGAGCGAGTTCCAATGTTTCTATCCAAAAGGGTGGTATAAGCGTCGGACACACGTCCCAAATGCTTCTAACTAAAGGGGATAGTATAAACATCGGGCACACAACCCAAGTGTTTCTAACCAAAACAAGGTATAAGAATCGGGCACACATCCTAAGCACTTCTAACCAAAGAGGATAGTATAAACATCGGGCACACAACCCAAGTGTTTCTAACCAAAACAAGGTATAAACATCGGGCACACGGTCCAAACGCTTCTAACCGAAGGAGTGGTATAAACATCGGGCGTACCCGAGTGTTTCTAACCAAAGCAAGGTATAAGCGTCGGACACACGGTCCAAACGCTTCTAACCGGAGGAATGGTATAAGCGTCGGGCACACAATCCAAACGCTTCTAACCAAAGGAGTGGTATAAACATCGGGCGTATCCAAGTGTTTCTAACCAAAGCAAGGTATAAGCATCGGGCACACAATCCAAATGCTTATAACCGGAGGAATGGTATAAGCGTAGGGCACACGGTCTAAACGCTTCTAACCAAAGGAGTGGTATAAACATCGGGCGTACCCGAGTGTTTCTAACCAAAGCAAGGAGATCGAAGGACAGGAATGATCTTGCTTGGAATTCCTCTGAATGAATCATACAGACAATATCGTCTGGTTGCACTAGCTTCAAATGAACCGTACATACAATATCGTGCCTACACAAGAAAGAAACTTTGACAAGTACAACACAATAGGAATGCATATTCTATGCAAGATTGACAGCATGTTCTAAGCAAATGTGAAAAGCACATATTCTATGTGAACGTAAGGGCATGTACAATGCAACACATGGAAACATGCATATTCTATGCAAACATGAGAGTATGTATAATACAATGCAACACAACATACGTTTTCTGTACACAATAACAATGCATACATTATCCAATGCAACGCACCAAATAAAGAAATGCGCGTCTTTAACAAGACCGATTAAAATGCAACCTCCGATTTACCTCTTGGAGGAGTTGCAACAAATCAAAAGGATACACCTCGTACGTGCTGAGCATCACATTCTAAAAAATACAGTCCAAAGCTTCCATGGAGGCCACTTGAGCTTAAAACATGTACTTTCCTTGCATTTCCTTGAAGGACCAAGGCACAAAACAGCAAAACAATAACCAATGAGAGCATCAGAGGCCTGCCGGCCACTCTAGGAAGCCATCGGCCACCCATCGGCCACAAATTGAACTTATCGGCCAACAAAGGTGGCCAGTCGGCCACTGATGGCAGATTCGGGGCAAATTGGAGATTTCACCTCGGGCTTTTAAATATAGGGTTCCAAACCCTATTTCTTCACTTCCTCTTTACCGAAAAACATTCCTCTAGTGCTCTAGACTACTTCCCCCCCTTCGATCCGCACTTCGTATGCATTTTCGGACATTCCATAAACATCCGATTCGCAAGCCCCTCTTTACACACTTCGTTTTGAACCGATTAAAAAAGGGGTTTCAGTGTCCTTTTCTTAATTTCCAACACTTGGGGTTTGTTTTCCACAAGGTGCCCTTGATTTTAGTGCCCTCTTCCGAGCCTTGGCCTTTTCTCCATTTTTCATCCCTCAGAGTTGACTTTTTGTTGACTTTGGGCATTCCTACCCATTTTCCACACTTCCGACCATTTTCTCATGCCTCCTCGAGATGGTAAACGACTTTCCACATGGCGGAGCTCCTCCGGGGATGGAGATGGATCCCGAGTTTGAGACCTTGCCGCTCAGTATTCGACCATTCGACCCGGCGACGTACCATCCCGAGGTACACGTGCTGCCTCCCGATAGCATCTGCCAGTTCAGAGGGTTTGCGCGAGGCACACCGGAGGACCTCCTGTTACGCGAGCCGGAGTCACACTTATCCTATGGCGCCTCTGAGGTATACACTTCCTCTTTATTTTCTACAATGTAGGTTACAATTCTTGTATAGTTCACACTGTTTTTCACCTGTTCATCCCGAACACACCTGTTCACACTGCCTTTTGCAAATCCTCCAGGGGGTAAGTCGAAGGTTTTCGTCAAACGTTAGTTTTGTCCGTTATATCAATTTACATATCTGATATATTCTCTTGCATAGAACATGCATTCAATTATCTTGCATAGAACATGCTTTCGATTCTATCTTGCATAGAACATGCGTTGCCATTGTAGTGATTTTCAATATCCTCACATTGTGCATCTATCGCATATTTTTGTCACATTGTGCATCTATCGCACGCTTTTGTCACTTTGTGCATCTATCGAACACTCTCACATTCTGCATCTATCGCACACTTTTGTTACATTGTGCATCTATCGCACGCTTTCGTCACTTTATGCATCTATCGCACTGTAGACACCCCATTTTTGACCGTCCTCAAGACTTGGACGTCACCGTTGGAACACTCAGTGATCCTCTTTGTCTGTGTTTCGTCTTGAGTTCCCGAAAGTCTTGGTTGCGCGCCTTGCCTCAGGATCTCTCGACTCGACTGTTCCGTGTTTGGTTTTGGCACCAAACACTTGTGTTTTTGCCTTGAAAGGCGGGGAATGGCTTGTTGGCCATCCCCACATTCCACCGGCCTTCCCCTAGCATCACCGGCTGTTTATGAGTGCCACCAGCCATGGTTTCTTAAAATCAATGGCCGGTCGGCACTATATTGGGCTGGCCGACACTTTATTCTGCCGGCAACTTCCTTTGCTGGCCGGTGTAACTCCTTTGCACCCTTGAGGCATGGTGCATACCAGCTGTGCCAGCTGGAATGCACCATCACTCTTCCCTGTGCAGTTCTTGGCTGGTATGAACCTTTGACCCCCCCTTTCCTTCTAGAAGCTTGAACCCTTTGGCCAAGCTTCTTGGGGAAGCTTGGCCAGCTGTCTTAGCTTCTCCAAGAAGCCAAGACTCCTTTGCACCCTTTGCCCCTTTCATTTAGCTTCCTTGAGAAGCTTAAGTCATGGCCCTTTGCCTATTTAAGCACCTCTCTTCTTCCTTTGGAGAGGTTAGAGCTTTTGAATCAAAAAAACCAGAGCTTCTATATCTATACATTTGATATATTATCCTCTCTCTATATCTCCCTCTCTCTCATCCTTAGGGTGTGTTTGGAAGCCTAAAAGTGCATTTTGACCTTACTTTTGCACTAAAACACACACCATTACACCTTGCTCCGAGATTGAGAGGCATTGAGGATTGTTTTTTGAGGTTTTGGACTGATTTTGATCAGTAGAGAGTGGCTGGATCATCTGTTCTTCAAGGCTTCTTCAA